CCAGAGTCCCCTATTGTGGGGGAGATGGGCGGTGGAGAAATCCAATAAATAATAATAAATAATAACATCTCCCAAGCTGGTAGAGGATGATGGGAGTGGCAGTTGGAGGCCCAGTCGAGTTTCTCCACTCGGTTTCCAGTCCCTACTCCTTCATCCTCCACCTATGGTACTTTTTTTCCTACATTATCTCTGGTCCACTCAAATGGAGTCTCAAATTAATCCTTGGAATTTGATTTTAACTGATGAGTTTTACTGCCTTCAGTGAAAAGGATTGATACATCTCATTGTTTTGAATAGAGAACCATGTTTTGGATTTATGCATCTTCCTCCAAATAGGTAGCCCAGGGCAAATGTTCACCTTCTCACCCCCCTCCCGCCAAAAGACAAGAACTGACCTTCAGTTTCTTCTTCTCTTGGCGTTTGAGGAGGGACATCTGGAAATTATCCACCAGGACTGCAATCACCAGGCTGCAAGAGGTGGTGCATGTGATAAACCCCTATTTTGGGGTGTGGCATAATACTGCCCCCTAAAATGTCTGGTAAATTGACCCCACGCTAAAAGACATAAGTAGATAGAATTAAATTTCTGTTTCCTAAAAATGCTGCTTCTGTATATTCCTTTTTATACAATGACACAATGGCTGAGACTAGTCAGCATGTCAGCATTTAACAGAAGGGCCATTTAGGAAGGAAGATGGGTTTAGCCACCAGATAATTATCTGATTTGCTGGCTAGACCCATCATATCAGAGATGGGGCATTTTGCTGATTGGGCAAACCCATAAAGGTTGATTTCACTCGCTGTGTTCTATAAAATTGGGAGGATTGTGTTTGAGAAGGGGGAGGAGAAAGAAGAAGAATCAAGAAGGAAGCCCTGCCTAACAACATCCAAACCGAAGGCCCAGATTATCTTTCTGCAATCATCTGTTTTGCAGCAAATGCTGAACACATGCTGAAAACCAAGATTTTATTTGAGTAGGTGATTGTGAAGGCTTTCTGTACTGATATTTGGAATTCTTTGTGCATGATCTTCCCTAGTTTTTCCTGTATTCCTCTTTCCAAATACACTAAACTTCTTTTTACATCTAGAGATGTAGCTTCTTGATTAAACATGAGAATTTCTTATTAACCCTTTGGCACATGCAAGATTGCATGGGCTCACATCTACTCTTATCTTCTTAGGACAACCACAAGGTTTTGTATCTCTGATGTTGGACAGGAAGATCCAGATCACCCTTCCTTCTGTTTTTCCTTCAGGTGGACTGAAACACTAAGAGCTCTCTAGCGGGTCTGAAAAGCTAGACCAAGACCAAGAGGTATGTCTTAAGTATCTCAGTGAATTTTGAATTACCACTCCTCTCAGCTCATAATAGCACACCAACTAATTTAAAAAATTGGGAATATTTAATTGTAGCATGAGTGGAAAGCCTGTAGATGCTAGGCTCCAGAGATATTTTGAAAGGCCACATAATATTGATTTTAAATCCTGTTTCACAAACCACACCGGGTGCATTTCTGCTATGTAAGCCCCCTTACACTCCTGGACAATTTTCTGTTTTTTTTTTTTTTCCAGATCAGCCACAGAGCTGTTAAATGGATCAAGACGAAGCCTGGATGAAAGTTTCAGAATTTGGGATCTCTTTAAGAGGCTCGTAAGCTGTTTGTTCCTCAACAGCCCACCTGCATTGCCTTCTAGCATCAGGATGGTTATGCCTGGGCCATACTTACTTGAGAAGCAAAAAATATTCCACAAGGATATAGATGATTAGAAAAATAATAATGTACCAGGCGCCTGGAAGGAAAAAAGGGAATACGGTGTAGAGGGATATTCCAGATAACTGGTCAGCCATATGACCCCAGCCGCTGCCCCCTTAAAGATTTGTTCAGCCTTTCTTGGCCTCTCTATCTGCCAAATCCCCCTAGATCTTGCACCCAACATGCACCAACATCTTGCAAGTTTGATTTGAATGCACGTCATCTAGAATTACCCAGCATGCCTTTGACTTAGCACAGGTCCTAGGGCATTATGGGAACTTACTATGGCACCCAGTGATAACAGATAAGACAGTGTTGGAAGAAGGGGTTCTCCCAAGGCCCACTGCCAGGAGATCTAAGGCACAGACTAAGTATTGCTAGAACCTGGACTCAACCAATTCAAGCCCAGTTCCCAGAGAGGATTTGCCCTCTGGAACTCACTGCCACAAGATGCAGCCCTTAACATTTGGAAGGAAAAGACAAATTCGTGCAAAATCAAGAGTCACAAGGGCTCCTCCCCACTGCTAAGCTGAAGCATTCTCTGCCAGTGCTTGAGCACACAGAAAAGTAGACGATCGGTGGATTTCTCCAGCTTCGTTTCTCCTCCCTCCAGTGTCACCTACGTTGAATGGCATCAATCATTCTCCTTAAGGTGGGGTAAGATGGGGTGAGTTTAGGCAACACCAGGGATGCTAACAGGTGGTAGAGTCTAAGAGAGGCTGTGGGGAAGAGCTGGGCTATTTTTGAATGTGGGTTTAGCTCTCTTTTAAAGGAGCACCAAACCCATATTCAGAAACAGCCAATTTGACAGGTAACTGGTGCAAAGGAGGGACAGTTTGACAGTAGTGGATGCGAAGACAGGTGCAGGATGAAGTGGAAGGCTGCTCTCTCGATGTTCCTGCTTAGCGCAACTCACCAGTCAGGCTATTTCTGAACGTGGGTGTAGCGCTCTTCAGAAAGACAGCTAAACCTGGGTCCAAAAATAGCCCAGCTGACCAACAGAAAGATAGAGGAGTGTAGGGGGAAGCAGGAAGTGGTGATCAATGACAAGTGAGCTCCATTCCCACCCAGTGCTGTAAAGGAATAGCAGTGAGCGAGCAAGGAATCTGGGGGGACTTGACTAATGCTGGAGCATCGCACTGCTGTTCCATAAGGCTGGTCCTGGGAGCACGTTCTGGTAAAAGGGATCTTTGCAGCCCTTGTATAAATCCTTGAAGGTAACAAAAACAACGAAAACAGTAAACTTTACGGCTGTGTGAAACCACTAGTGGACAGAAGCAAATCGTACATAGGAACATGAGGCTGTGTGATGGAATGGAATTATGAAGGCCAGGCTCAGGGAGATAAGCGTGTTCTTAGTTCACCGGAGGAGCGTGGGAAGTTCAAGAGGATGAGGCTGGCACCTCCCTCAGGAATTCACAGTGTTGTGGCTGGCTGGCTTGGGAGCTGGGGTTCAGTCTGGGGAGATTTTCTGTCTAGAGATTGTAGCTAATAAACACAGTAGAACTTAATACGCATTGTCTCTTGGAGTTCTTTGGGCTAAACCTGACAGGCTGACAGACCCAGGTATCCTTTCCTGCTGTCAACCTTTTCTGCTGCACACGACTAGCACGCTTTCAGAAGAGTGCTAAACCCACGTTCTGTAAGATGCGGTGTGTGCCTCCCGAAACAAGGAGGGGGGAACAGGCTCACAGCAGTCAAAAGTAGCTCCTGGGAACTGGCTGATTCCAACCCCTGGCTGTACCAGCCACCCAATGGTTGATGTTCACCAGATCACGTCCATGGCAAAAATGGTATTGGGACAAGAGGGAAAACACTATTGCATAATGAGGACAGTGATGCATGACCTTAAGCTGCCCCAGGGTGGACTAGGGCATGGATATGGCTGCAGAAGGGGTCGTGGGACTAGTTAGGGGCAACTAACTAGGCCATACAGGTTGAGTGCTGGAGAACACAAGGGAAAGAGAGTATATTTTGTTGGGAAATCTGTACAACAGGAATGCAAACCTGAAGCTTTGGGAGGTATCGCTCCGGCCCCGTCCAAAAGTGGTGGCCAAATTGTAATTTTCATCAAAACCGAAGGGGAAAATGATCAAATGTACAGGAAGAAGGGAGCCTCACACTGCCCATGGCTTATATTTAATTCTGCTTAATCCATTAAGTCAAATGCGGGTTTCAAACTGAGTCCTGCCCAAGATAAGAACCCGCCCATCTTTGCCCTGATCCTTTGGGGGGGATCTCTCCCTCTCTTCCAGTCCCCGCAATTCAGAACCCAGTGCAACCTGCAGTCTGAAAAAAAGATGGGGGGGGGCTTCTTTCCAATACATCATGCGTCTCATGCTCTAATTATGACTGACCCACCTAAAACTGGGGTACTGTTGGGGAGCAAGGCCATTTTTCTGTATCGACCCTCACAAATGTCTAGTTTTAGGAGAAGTGAACTCAGCTGTTTGTGTTTCAACCAGCAGAACTTCGGGAAACAAACCAGGGTGACAAACCAGGGTGATGGCTGGCTGGGGAATCCTGGGAGTTGAAGTCCACCCATCTTAAAGTGGCCAACTTTGAGAAACACTGGCTTAGCACAACGTGTGGGTGCTGAATTCATTCATCACGTCAATCCATACCTTGCTTCCTTGGTTTGTCGCTTACCACGTTGGAGAACCCCAGCCATTCTGGGGTGCAAATCTCAGTTTACGGCGTCCTGTGACGTGTGCAATTACCTGCTGCAGTTTAGTCATTATACCGCAGTTTAACAAACCGCGGCGCTTACGCTGCAGAAATTGAGGAGGGAAATGGTACTTTTTGGAGGAGCAATGGCCACGCTGGATGAATTCCAGTTTTAACCGATTCTTCCTTCTCCCTACCTGCAGAGTAGCATGTCAGGTAGATAAGTGACCAGTCATCCAAAGTAAAAAGCTGGAAAAGGGTGAAGATGGTTTTGAAAAGGTCCCCAAAATGTTTTTTATCTGCTTCATGGAACATGTCACGTAGCACCACAGAAGACATGACTGAAAGTGGAAAGTCAAGGAAGAAACTGCAATTCTCGGGGACTTAGAGGGGTGGAAGAGATGGACGTGTTTCGAACCTGTGCTTCAATCTGTTTTAAATGCAGGACCCGTCTAGAAGAAAATGGAGGCTGTGGGTTCAAGCAGGGAAAAGAAAGTGGGAGTTTTCTGGGAAACTGACTAGGATCAGTTCAGAAACTGACTCAACTCCTAAAACTGGGTTGTGAAGTTGACTAGAAAGCTGGCTGGCTGTGAACAGGCCGGCCAACTTTCTACTTAATTTCCGGACAGATCTCTCTGTGCACAAATGCACTGTGCACAAACAGTTGTGCACAATTGCAATGCGCAAGCCACACCCAGTCCATGCACTTTGATTAAAATGCACCGATTTACGGCCCATTAACTACACTATACGAGGTTATGAAAATAGTTACAGTACTTCTTTTGCAACACCTCCTTCTTCTCCTCTTGTGCTTAAAACACAAGCGATAAGTGTATGCTTTACACTCACATTTTAAGCACCACTGATTCTGTTTTCATAATACTAGCAGGCCAATGGACTAGGACATTTAAAAAAAAAATCTTTCTCCTGCTGACTCCTGTACAAAATGAACTTCAGTGTGGGCTGGGATGAAAAGCACAATGCCCACCTAACAATTCTGGCTGACTCTCAGAAATGAATAAAAATAGCATTCAAACTTAAACGTGCCCCAAATCTTATGAAATGGCTACATCCCCAAATGTCTTTGCATTTCCATTTGAAATAAAAAGTTAACCATGTTTAATTGTGTGTGTGTGTGTGCACGCACACATACACATAAAACTTAAATAACATTTAAAAGTTCATTTTTAAAAAACATTTTATTTAAAAAAAACTATGGGGAGTGTGGTGGCCTGCAATGCTGTGCAAAATCACGCAGCAATACTTATTGACTGAAAAGGTGATGGGCATTTCTGTAAATCCTGCTCCGGTTCAAATCCCTACAGCTAAAAATTGAGACAATCTCTCTGACTTGGGGTCATGGTTCTCTCTTGGGCTGGCCTACCTCAAAGGGTTGTTGTGAGGTTAAAATTATGAGGAGCAGGGAAAGTCATCTATCCAATAGAAGAGAATGTCTGTAGTTTGGGGTTCAACTGTGGAGTCCTTGTTGCTCTCTGAGCTTGGTGGTTTGCTTGCAGACGTTTCATGACCCGACTAGGTAACGTCATCAACACGAGGGAGGGTGGGGTTTTGCTCCCGGTTTATATACAATGGCTTGTCCTGCCAATGTTGATGGGGGTGTGGGGTGCAAGCTGGTGTTGGTGGGGTGGGGGTGCAAGCAAACGACCAAGCTCAGAGAGCACTAAGTGTGATGGAATGGTTTGGTGAAGGCCGCGCTCGGGGAGATAAGCATTCCCTTAGCCCCCAGAAGGAGCGTGGGAAGGTGAAGAGGATGAGACTGGCACGACCCTAAGGAATTCGCAGCGTTTGCTTGCTGGCTTGGGGAGTTTAGATTCAGTCTGGCAAGATTTCTGCCTTGTAGGTGAAAGCTAATAAATGCTATAGAACTATATCTGTAGTGTCTCGTGGAGTTCTTTGGGCTGAACCTGACATCAGTCTCACCAGACTGAATCTAAATTCCCCAAGCCAGCAAGCAAACACTGCGAATTCCTTCGGGTGGTGCCAATCACATCCTCTTCACCTTCCCACGCTCTTTCTGGGGGCTAAGGGAATGCTTATCTCCCCGAGCGCAGCCTTCACCAAACCATTCCATCACACGAAGGGCTTGAAAACCATCTATTTTGCTTTAAGCTCCTTGGAGGAAAGATGGTATCAGCCAGTGTTTTTCAACCTTGGCCGCACCTCCCCCATTGTGTTTGTGTCTCTCTTATACCCATCACCCACCCCCTAGCCGGCCCCGGTGCGGGGCGGGGGGGGGACGGCGTGCGG